CTACTCTATCTACTCTATATACTCTATCTATTTTAATAGAAGTCTCTTTTCTAAAGTAATATCTTTATCTAAAGTATCTCTATAACTCTATATATCTTATTATTCTAAATTATATCTTTAGTATATTTAATTATAGTCTTTAAATTTAATACTAGAAAGATAGTATATAATAGAGAGTAGAGGTTAAAAATTAATTAGACTAGGAACTTAAATTAAATGGTACTATTCTAAGCTCTCTCCGACTATATAGCTATAATAAAATATAGTAGACCTTCCTTTCTTCTACCTTTAGGCAGTGTCCTTTATCTATTAAAAGGTGTCCTTATCTAGAACTACCTTTAATAACCTTTTCTCCCACTAGACACTTCCCTCTATATTTCTAGTTACTATTTTTATTCTCTCTTATATTATCTATTCGGCCTCGTGGTAGTCTATATAGTTCCCTAGCTATATACTAATATCCGACTTCTCTTAAAAGTATACACTCTTTATATATAGGTTAAAGACCCGACTTGAACGTCCGCTACCATCTAACTTTATTTTAATTTAAGTATCGGTCGGGGTAGATAGACTACTAGTTAAGGTAGCTATAACTAGGGATAATAAGTTAGTAATAGACTTATTCATACTATACGTATATATACTATTATTTACCGTTCCCGCGGTTACTTAGAGCGGGTCTATACTTAATACCTAAGATAGTATAATCTTATCCGTAGCTACTACCAGTAGTATAGAACTCTCACCTATATCTAATGGCGCATGAGATAATTCGAGGTACTTATCTAACTGGTTTAGAGTATCCGACTTATCCTTTTTATAGTAGTTAGTATCTATATAGCCTCTATAACTTTAGTATATACTTATATTACCTAATAGCTTAGACTCCTCACTCTCGTCTAAGTTATCCACATCTACTTTAGAGAAGTTATCTAGGTTATCTTTATATGGGTTTATATATATAGTGTCCGGGTCGATTAGTGTTAGTACTATAAATACCGATGCTATTAGCGATTTTTAAATATAGTTAATGCGGTAGGGCGCCTAGTTCGACCATGTTAGGCTTAGCGCTCGCTATTCCTCTATATAATTTAGCACGCGATTAGATAAAGGTATATATATATACCTAGTATTAGTAGAGAGCGTGCGAATCTACAGCGACTAAAGGACGAGTTCGGCGCCCGCCCGCTACTATATTCATTAAGGGCATACCTTATTATAATATATATAATGGTAATCGTAGATGGTGGGATCGGTCAGAATATACTACTATAGTACTCCTTCAATCTAAGGAATCTTAGAGACTATAGTAGAACCAACTTTAGAGCCTTAATTACTACTAGCCCTACGAACATTTTCTAAGTTACGCTAGTATTATACTAATAATTAGTAACACGTCTAACACGACGTAAGTAATATACCTTTACTCCTATATACGCGTTATTACGTATTAGATTACTTATACTAGCTTTTCTCTTCTCGGCTATCTCCTAGTCCTAGTATTCGGATACTATCTATCTAACTCTAGAGAGGAGTTAGTAACGGAAGTCCATTATATCTTCCTTTACTAGCGTAATAACATAGGCGGGAGGTATGTTTTATGAATTGTAATTAAGGTAGTAGCTACCAAGATTAATATCTCCGGCGGCTGTCTAGACCGATTATACTAGTATCCCAAAACTATCTAGGCTACTATCTAGCCATATATTAAGGCGATCGAATACCGGTGGTAACCGGCCTAAAAACGTTATAGTGATCGAAATCTCTATTATCGCGAGGTACCGGTCTCGTTTATAAGGCTAGAGACTATCTCTATAGGACCGCCTCTTTTCACGGATAGTTAGTTCCCTCTCTACTACTATTTCTCTATCTTCTTCTATTAAGCTAGATGGCTAATACGGTAGAGAAGAGGACGTAAGGCCGTTATATCCCCGGTTACTATTACGGTAGAATGTTACCGTAACGTCTAAGCTATATAGGGCGTTACTACTATATTCGCTGCCGGTATGCCTAGACTACTAGGTTATTAGTAGATAAACGAACGCGTCGAGATAAGCTAGGTATATATATACACGTTTTTTATGTCGATGGCTATCGTGTAAGTCCCTATTATTAATACTAATACGTGTCTACGTTATATCGTATCTTCGTTTACCTATCCCGTTTAGTTTACTATAGTTACTAGATTGTCTTCTATTAGTGTTACCGCCATAGTAGCTAGATAGTCCCTTAACCGTCTTCCGTGTTAGAGGTCCTATAGAGAAGGTATATAAGAGATTAGTAGATATTTTTATTAGTAATGGGTCGGTGACCTACTAGGCGATAATATTAGGTAGCGGGATAATAACTAGCTAGTAGACATAATAAAGGTTTAGGCGTAGACTAATATAGTGTTTTTATAGACGCGTAATGCTTACGCGTTATTATTAATAATTTTAAGCGAGCGTGTATAGAAATTAAGGGGCTAAGAGCCGGGTAGAAGTCGGGGGTTAGTGGGTATATGTCGGGCTTTCGACGGGCTTACACCTAACTTCTTTCGGTATACGCCTAGAATATCCGCCGTATACCGTATTATTACCATCTACTAATGATTATACTATAGTATTTTTCCTTTATAGTAACTACACCTCGAGATACCATAGGCTATAGTCTCCTACTAATACTATAGTAGAAAGATTAGTAGTATATACTATATAATCCGTAGACACTATAACTCGGAACCGTATAGACGAGCACGGCTTACCGCATCGCTATTATTATTATAACTATTAGGCCCGTGGCTACTACTATTAACCGGGTCACGGCGCGGCTTTAGTACTCGTAGTTATATTAGTCGATAGAACTCTTTGGTTCGCTCTATTAGTATTTAGCCGTCGAGTATTAATTAGGAGTCCGGGTCTATAGAATTAGGTACTTCTACTACTAATATTACCCTATATAAAGACACCACTATTTTCCCTAATCCTATTTCGGACCTGGAATCTATGGACGGCGTTACTAGTAGCTATAGTACCGATTTAGTATATTAGTCTAATATATATAGTAGAAATACTATGTCCATGGCGACGAGGGCGTCTAGTACTATATATTTAACGAAAACGTTCGAAGAGGAGAGTGGTATATATATTATAGTAGACTAGAGTAGACGTGATAATCCGTCCGACGTAAGTATATATAGTCTAGGTTTATAGTAGTAACTGATTTAGTAGGCCCGATTCGGTTAATTCGATAGTAAGTTTATAGAGCGCCTTATAATATAGATGAATCGGTTCGGTATTTCGAATGTAGTATACGATGAATTAACTACTATCCTTAAATAGACTTCCGCTATACCCCCCGACCTTTTTATACTAAAATCTAATGTCGTGCGTAAGTAGTTATTATACTACCCTAAAGGGATACCGCACGAAAGTTAGTAGCGTAGCTACGATATATTTAGTACTACCATAGTCGAATACTAGTATAGGGATCCGCTTACGTTAGTGGAATTCCTCCTTAGGTACCGACCGTTCGCTAGTAAGCTTATGTTTAAGCCGGTATAATAATTTACTAGTTTAGGCGACCGGGTATATAGTAAAGCCTATATAGTAGATAGTTAGTAGGATATGTACGCTACTATTCCGGATAGTACCGTCGTCGTCTCTATTGTTTTATCTTCGGATAAGACGAACCTTACTAACCATGGTAGTAATAGAGTAGCATGGCTAGTCTACCTATCTATTTATAATCTACTACTAAACGTCCGCTTATCTAGGAGTCTACTATTATTTCTACTACTTACTCTATTACTAGTAGTTAAGCTAGAAACGGTAGCGAATTGCTTTATGTTCCATTAGGTTATGAGTAAAGTTCTAGTCTATATATCTACCCATAATAGAGTCGTTAACTATGCTAATTATTATATAGCGTTATAGGCTATATAGAGTACTAGAGTCCTAGTATTATATGCTAATGGCGGCTCGCGTAAGTACTATCCACGTTTAGCTTTATATATTATAGATTTTCCGGAGTAGGTGCTTATCACGGGTGTATCCCATTAGTATGCATGTCTAATATATATAGTCCCTGGTAATAGACGACAGTATCTACGAGAAGCCATTACTAGTATATAGAAGTTCCGTATATACTCGTCGTTATAGGAATAGGTTTACCGTATACGTCGCGAGTTAATAACTAATAGCCACGGTAGCGAGTATACTAGTAGTGAGATAGATAATAGGACGAGTATACCCGGTGTCTTATCGTTTTCGTCGACGTCTTTCGCGCTAGTAGCATAGGGCTATTATATTCGCTAATCGGTTAAGAGTCGGTATTCTAGTAGGTGGATAGAGCTATTAGATAATTTCGCCTAGTCACTTACTAGAGTTAATATACACCGCGCGGTCGCTCCGGACATTCTATATTAACTATATAAGGGTATATTAGAACACACGTTTAATTAGATAGTCTCGTATATTATTAATTAAGAGCGTACGGGACATAAGTTAAAGGGTATGTTTACTAGTATACCCCCTATAGAACGAGTAAAGAAGGCGATCGATAAGCGATTCGCGTCTATTAGGGTATTCGGTCGTCATAATCTACTCACGTATATAACTTTAGTAATATAATAGACGGGGGCGATGTTTAAGCGTATACTAGTAGTGTTTATAGTCGCGTTTAAACCGCTCCTATATTATGATCGACACTTCCTAAGCGCAGTGCGGGCGGTTATTAATATATACATGTTAGCGGCGTACCATACGCATGATACGTAGATACTAGCATACTTAGAAGAGGCTATATTACGCTTAGACAACCTAAAATACTAGTTTATACCATATCGTGGATATAAATCGGAGGATAATCATTTTAACTTTCCGAAGTTCCATGTATTATCGTACCTGGTTAATGCTATTAAATACCATGGTTCGTTACATCTAATATCGGTAGAGCTACTAGAGCGATCTTATATCGTAGTAAAGGAATTATATCGAGGTTTAAATAAGAGGGAGACGTTTCTATAGTAGATGCTAGTAGTAGACACACGCACGACGAATACTAAAATCTCTAGTAGTATAGAGGTGGCGGCTAGTACTAGTATATTAGTGGCCCCTAGCCTAGAGTAGCTCGATAATATACGTAAGCTAGTCGGCCAGCGGCGTATTCTAAAGGAGCCACGCCGGAGTAAATATATACTCTACGTCTTATAGAGCCATAGACTATCTATATTCTACTAGACTACTATCGGCAACCTCCACGACGTGTATAGTGGTAGTTTTATATTACTCGATACGGTTATACCCTTTATACGTAACTATCGTAATCGGCTTATCGGGGATAATATATCGAAAGGTACGAATGTCGAACGTATTAAAAAGGACCCTTCGTGGGCACGGGTCCTTCCTATCTATATATACGAGACTATATATATACCGATACGACTAGATAGAGACATATCTATAGAGGCCTTCGACCCGATTCGGGTAAGGTATACCCGCAACTAGTAAAAGAGTAGTAAGGCTAGGGAGGATTATATAATGGTATAGGAGTTTAACGAGGGTAGTAACCACCTTAACGGGAAGCGGGTTAGTAAAGTCCGTATGTTTCTAGAGGTATATAATATAGAGAGTATTGACGTAACCAGTGGTATAGTAGCGCGATTCCTAGGTGTGTTAGTTAAACTACTTAATAACTTAGGTAGAGGTAATGTCGATACTATTAGTAGTCTTATACTATTACGTATAGCGGGTTAAAGGTCTAGTAATAAGACTCGTACGATGGATAGGTTCCGTGTCTACGAGCTAGAGCATGTCCTACGCCCTATATAGATTATATTATATTAGTTAGTTATGGATGGTTCATTCTAGTTAAACACGTATAGTAATTAGGGGATCTATAATAAGGTATATAACCTAGACTTCTAGGCTATAAATAGACGAAACGTGACCGTAGCGTTAAAACACGGGCGCGTGTCGTAAGTCTATCGCTATCTACTACCGCCTACCATAGTATACCGGCATATACCGGCATATAGCGGAAGTTATGGTTTATATATAGTAGCACTCGATAGTCATATCCTACACTAGGATATCTCTAAGGAATAATCGTGGTTTATTACGATCGGTTCTATAAAAGGCTTATATTTAATAACTATCTATAATTTTAGCCAAGGAGCATCTAGGGATACACCTCCTTATTATCTAATAATTACTAGCTAGTATAAAAACTCTACGCCTCTAAAAGGGGCATATAGAACTTAAAGGATCCTCGTTCACGGGTAGAACTAGACACGGATAGTATTAACCTAATATAGATAGATTATATACATTAATACCCTGAAATCCGAACTATGTCTCTAGGCCTACTAGACCTAGCTCGTACCCGATTCTAATGTTTTCGTTATTCGCGTTTATACCTCGTTAGATACCGGGTATATAACGAGTCTATGGTTAAGTAAGTGTTAGGTATATAACGAGTCTATTAATGAATAAGTGCCGGGTATATAACGAGTCTATATGAATAAGTATAAATGAGTATATACCGGGTATATAACGCTCTTACTAGGGAAACGTCTTCCTTAAGTATCTCCCCCTCCTAATATTTCTCCTTCTCTTCCTTTATTCTTTCTCTAGCCTTATAAGTATAGTTAGACTTATATTACTATATTATCGATGTGTACGTTCTTATATAGACCGTTAGAAACTACGGTAACTAGATATACGTTCTCGTAATAGATAAATATACCGCACTAATGCGTCGTATTATTCGTGTTTAATATAAGGGTTCGCTACTATAATTATTCGTTATTACGCTCGTCTATCTCTTCTTAATAATAGTACTAATCGATAACGACCTATTATAGAGATGATAGTTAGTATTACGTACTTCTCTTAAATATTCGTATATTAATATTATATAAGCACATGCTTCGCGGAGGTCCTCTATCCTTCCCTTAAGCTACCTAGACTATCCCCTAATCGCTAAAAACTCTTATATCTAACTATTTCTACTATTTATTTCTTGGTTCTACTTGTTAGGCTTCGAACGATAGCGAACTACGACGGGTTAGCGGTTATCTATATTTTACGTATACCGAGTTAGTATATCTGAATATAATAGATGATAGTGTGTTTATAATAGTATATACTAGATCTTATAGTATTCCTCTTTGGCGGTAGATCTATATAGTCGTAAAGACGGCCTACTATCCTATCGTGCCTATATACTACGCTACTCTTTTATCATATATAGATAGTATTACCGGAGTAGGGCCATCGCCCGGTAAACTTAACGTTATATATAGAGTATTATATATTTAACGTTGTTATTTCACGTGCCCTATATTAGTGCGGGATCGGATACCGGCCGTATATTTCCCCGCCTCTATTAAATTAACGAGTTATTACCGAAAACTATACGGACTACTCGCGTTAATGTAGCCGTAACGTACGTGTTATACCTACGCCTATTATATAGTGTACATGCCTATTATATAGTGTACATGTCTCGTCTCTCTATTACCCTAGTAATATATACTATTCCCTATTCCGTCTACCTATAGCTACGTCCGGCCAGCCGCGAATAAATAGCCGAGTAGAAGCGAGTCTCGACCTACTTTATATATTCAGAGCGTCTAATAGGTAGAAACTTCGGGTATACATGGAAGAGTTGATTTAGGAGGAATTTACTAGCCTATTACTAAACCTACGTAGTAAGGAAGTAAAGGACCACCATATAAAACGAGAGCGTTACCTATAGACAGTCATAGATGAATGTATATTTATTAACGGTAGTTATACTATTTCACGGGTAGATGCCATGTATTAACTTAATACTATATTCTTAGTATTTACGCGTAACTAGCGGCGGTTGGCTAAATACTATCGTATACGTTAAAACGATGCCCCGGGCTAGACGAGCCGTCGTAATATTATATATACCCTATGAACCCGCCTAATATATCTAGCTAACCTAGTTATTCGACTGTCGGACTACTAGTATCTATATCTTCTAAGGTAGCCGTGCCGCCGTATTATATATATATGCCTATAGTCCTTATCCGCGATTATACTCGGGTCACCCTAGTACTAATAACGGCTATATAGAATGGCACGACGCCGTTAAATATTAAGGGTGTAAAAATACGCGATATAGTAGGTCTTAGTATAAATAAACTATTAGAATTTATTAGCTCGTCTATGGATATACTAGGGGACGTAGGCGGTTATAGGCATGGTCGCGTCTACCTAGAGTACCCGATTCTACCGAGCGAGTCGAGTGATATAATCCTTTATAAGGATAGTTTAGACTAGGTATTATAGTAGGCTATTAAATAGGTACTAGGCTTAGGACTAGATCGGGTGGTTTTCCGCGTGGGCGATATAAATGGTATATTTAGAAGCCTACTATAACGTGTTAACTATAATCCAACTATATAGGAACGTCGCGCTATAAGTATAGTAGCGGGATTCATCCGTCTAGCGCGTGTAGGTAAGCTCGAGATATATATACGCCGATAGATATCGGCATATATCGACATATTACGACTACTAAGCGGTATATACTAATGTATACTAGTATATCCGGTATATACTAGTATAATACCGTCGCTCTTCCGTGGACATAATACCATTTATATATCTTAGGTTTTCGGTTATCGGTTACGTATAGTATCATATACACGGCGGATACCTTACTAGATTTAGGTCTTTCGTCGATAGTATATAGATACGCCCTAGTCCACTCGATATAGGTGTAGTTAACGCTTCACCTACTTAAACGATAGACGTTAATAACGATACGACTAGTATATTTACCTATTATATTATTAGCTAGCTAACGTTATATTAGGAGAGTCGAGCGCCGCCGTCCCGCCTACTCCACCCGTCGATGTTAATATGCTAGCGATTATAACCTAATCGCCTTACGAATCGATATATAATGCCGGTACGCTTAAGAGTTCGAGCGAACGTATAAAAGTCTAATATTATATACTATTTAGGGTCGGGGAGGAAGCGCCTACCGACGTAGTAGTTATTAAGGCGATGGTAGAAGTCTATATATAACTAGATATACTAAGTCCGCCTCCTTCTTATATGGTCCTATTACTAGATAATGTTACCGGTTTTAATATTGCGGGAGAGGAGTTTATAGACACGAACCCATGAATATCGGTATAACATCGGCTCGATAGTACGTATTATAGTATAAGGTAAGTTATATTTAAGCGGTAGTTAGACACGTGCGCTAGTATACTAACGGATATATAGTGTCTCTACCATGAATAGAATAGGCAAGGCATGGCTAGTAATATCTTACTACCTAGAAGAGATAGTTACCGTAGAATTTAGGAGATAGGCTCGGCGTCTATGGCGTTAGTGTGTCGGACGGTTGAACTTTTATATAATACTATTCACTTATACCTATATTTACCTAAGCCCCGATTCGATAGCCTTCTATAATATACTATATACTCGGTCGGCGAGCTACTAGACTCATATAATAGTAGTATACTACCCCACTTTATATACTACTTAAGCTACTATTACTTTAGCCTACGTTAATCTTAGCTTCCTTTAGTCGTCCCTATGTTATAAAAGAAAACTTCTATAAACCTTTCCTCTACTTATCTTGGTTTTTAAACCTAAATCTTACCTTCTATACTTTATTCCGTGTTAATCACGACTATATATGAACGCTACGTTAAACTCGACTCTATTAACCCTTAAGGTCTATTCCATATAATAGTTAACGAGGTTATATTTATAGTTTATAATATGGATTAAGAACTCGTTATATTCGGCGATGTTTAGGACTAGTCTACGCTCGACGTAATTAAGCCTTACGTTTAAGCCGAGTCTCACGTTTAAGTCGAGCCTTACGTTTAAGTCGAGCCTTATACTTAAGTCGAGTCTTACGTTTAAGCCGAGCCTTACGTTTAAGTCGAGCCTTACGTTTAAGCCGATCCTTATGTTTAAGTCGAGCCTTACGTTTAAGCCGATCCTTACGTTTAAGCCGATCCTTACGTTTAAGCCAAGCCTTACGTTTAAGCCGATCCTTACGTTTAAGCCGAGCCTTACGCTTAAGTCGAAGCTTACGATACGACTACCGTCTTAACCGATAATAAACCACTCGTCTTTAGTATACTTACTAGTAACTACCGTCCTAACGACGAGTATAAACTTAAGAAGGTCTAAAGTAGTAAGGCTCCCGTTCCTATTTACGCCACCTATTAGATCTCTCTTATATAGGGCGATCTATAGTTAACCTTTAGGAATATCTATAGTATTAGTAGAGAAACAGATGGACTTAAGTAGAAATAAGCGAAAACTTAAGCCGAGCTTAAGCTAGTAGTATTTAAGGCTCGTGGTAAAGGTCACGGCTTCGAAGAGTTAATTAGTTATATATATAGATTCCTTGAATTCCCTAAGTACCGCTCTTAGATTAAGTTACGTGCTCGCTTCCGATGGATTAATAAAGGGAAATCGGTATCCTTAATAAGCTTACTCCGCTTCAATCGTACTAACATCCTCCTATTATCCGACCACCCTATAGTATAGATCTTTAAGGTTAAGTAAGTAGACGACTTTATCGAGTATTTTCCTAAACTTTCTAATCTCATTGTAAGCGAAGTAGATAAAGCTAATATACTATATATTAACACCGGCCTCTACGAAGACCCTCGCGACTTTTAGGTTATTAAACTTATAGCTAGCGAGCTTCTTAGTGTAGGTTTTACTATCCCGTTATATATTAGACCCGATATAATATATAAACGAGTGAAGTAATTCTTTGAAGATCTAGGTACTTATACTATAGTTCGTATCTTACTACCGCTACGTAACCCTATGGATCTTACCGGCTTTAATAATAAGCTTAAACTAGAGAGCGATCCGATTAATTCATGGTATATAGAAGTTACTACTCCCTATATATAATACGGCATAATAAGTAGGCCGGATACTTAGCCCTAGATCTCTATTCTCTACCGCGAGTCATTCGATAAGAAATTCGACTACCTAATATATATCGCTA